GGCCTCCCGGAGCCCACTCGTGCATTCGTGCGGCTGTGTGCGTCTGGGTGATGAGGTGGGACAGTCGCTTGACAGCCAGCTCCGTCTTCTCTCCCCTCCCCCGCCTTTATGTTTCTCTCTTCCCCCTCTCTTTGGATTCATGAGTTCCTTTCTGGTTGCAGCAGGATTTCAGGAGTCTACACTTTGGGACTCCCTGATGAAGATTGAGTTGAGCCTGACAGGTTACTTCATTTTCCTGTGAGGGGGAAGTAGTAGATGTGGTTTCTACGAGACCCCCACCCCCACACACACACCTCTTCCCTGGGCCATGGAGGTCTTAGAGGCTCAAGATCTGTTGCCCAGAGGATGAAGGTTTTTCTTGTCTTTCTGAGGGTCATGTCTAGCGTCAGCCTGGGAATCTTCCCTGAGGAACATCATCCTGTTCCTCCTTCAAGTAATGGCGTAACTTGGGCCCCCTCCTTGTAGGGCTGCATGTTGCCAGTGAGCAATGAAGGGCATGTGGAGTGTGTGTGTGTGTGTGTGTGTGTGTGTGTGTGTGTGTGTGTGCGCGCACGTGCATGTGTGCCATGCTGAGAGGGGACTCTCTGGCAGACCCTATCTGTCCTCCCTCTTCCTAGAGCTCTGAGCTGGATGAGCCGCTAGGGTTCCTGGGGGAGGTCGGCCCTTTGTAAGATTTCAGTCAGCCAGACTTTCTCAGTTGCTTTCTTATTGTATGTATCCCTAATGTGATTAAATCGCTACCAATCCACAGAAATAGCTTAGTGATCATAGGAATTTATTGGGGGGTTAACTCATGATACAGAGAACTCACAATACAGGAAATAGGGATCCCAGAAAGGTGAGGCACGGTCCAGCGCTGTTCTCTGGAGGTCTGCACCAGCATCCAAGACCACGAGGTAGTGAAGAGAAGAGAGTGCACATCTGTATGTATGAACCTACATGCATCCCGGGTCTTAAGGGTCCCCGTCCGGGCAGCGCCCAAGGGGGCAGGTACGTAGCAGCTACCTGCTGCCTCACTAGGGGTAGTGCTTCAGGGTATGGCACAGACAGCCACCCACTACATCTCCCATCTGTTTTCAAGGATTGGGGTGAGGTAAAGTGAGGGCTGATTAGAAGTGACTGTAGGTGGCTTAGCAGCTGAGAGCCACATGTTGAGATCATCTGGATAGGAGCAGGTTTCCCCAGGGGAAACTGAGACCATAGGGAGACTAAGGCCATGGTGAAACTGGCCCTACCAGGTGTGGGTGATATGTGCCTATGTCACCTGCCTTTCCCATCAGGTCCGTGTTTTGTGGATGTTCAAGAGCCCACCCTTGAGCGGCTATAGGCTGTGTGACCCGGGCCAGGTTCCCTCACTTAAGACAGCAGCTATAGCTTTCTTCTCTCTGCAGTTGGGCTGGAGTGATCGCAATGAGACAGGTGCTGTGGGACGGTCTGTATGTCAAATTTGTTGCTCTGATTGGTCAATAAATAAAACACTGATTGGCCAGTGGCCAGGCAGGAAGTAGGTGGAATAAGGAGAGAGGAGAATTCTGGGAAGCAGAAGGCTGAGGCAGAGACACTGCAGCCGCCGCCATGACCAGCAGCATGTAAAGACGCCAGTAAGCCACCAGCCACATGGCAAGGTATAGATGTAGATGCTGCAGCCGCCGCCATGACCAGCAGCATGTGAAGATGCCGGTAAGCCACCAGCCACGTGGCAAGGTATAGATTTATAGAAATGGATTAATTTAAGCTATAAGCACAGCTAGCAAGAAGCCTGCCATGGCCATACAGTTTGTAAGCAATATAAGTGTCTGTGTTTACTTGGTTGGGTCTGAGCGGCTGTGGGACTGGCGGGTGACAAAGATTTGTCCTGACTGTGGGCAAGGCAGGAAAACTCTAGCTACAA